AGCGCCTATCCATGCCTGCTCTAGGCGCTGTACAATTTGCCAAAATGAGCTGTACTAATCTTAATAATTAAAAATGTGCATTTAAGAAAGTAATAAAAGTAAAAATTGCTAAGAATAATAAGTTTTCTTAAAAAGATGAGTTTTGAGTTTAGATTGGTGCTACTATAAACAAGCAATCAAATTGCCGCCTGAAAAGGTGAACCATGTTTGTGAATATTTCATCCCAATTTTAGAACGGCCATCTTTGTTTTTTCTATAGACAGAAACAGGTGTTGGCCTTACTCCAACATTTCCGATGCCTCGTTTACTGTGATTAAGCCCAGGACTTTATAGATGGTTTTCAAAAGATTTCAAAATTTGATGATCAGCCAAGGAATCACAGTCTTTGGTATATGTCATCAAGGCTTTGCTTTTTGCATTACTTGAAATTTCAAATGAAATGAGTCTTAGCCGCTCGTCAACTTGGTGATTACTAGGACAGGAACAATTGTTTTTAGACAGTGCAGAATACACTTTTGCAATGGTGAGGGGGCTTTCATCCGTGATGTATTCACCAGGTCAGTTCCCATCGATATCATTTGCATTACATGTAGTTTATGAAAAAAGCTGAAACAATTTATCTTTGTGCAAGTGTCAATTAAGTAGCACTGTTTACTGAGTAATACTGTCTTCTCGTTAAAACATTTCTTGGAATCAATACTGAGATACTCATTTGAAGCAGTTTCTCTGTCAAAACAAAAGAAATTACTGATGGCTAGTTATGAATGAGAACACTGTTGGAGTTTTTGAAATGTGTTTTTGTTGCAGGTAGATGCAACGAGATATTTTTATTTGTTAGTTTTCACTTTTACTTTTGTTCTCACGCATGAGTAGTGTCAATTAAAACTGATGAATCGGTGACTCTGTTCACACGGTCAGAATAAACAAACAAGAAGCCAATCTAGGGGCACGTCCAGACTTGATATAAAGTATCTTGCATTAATGGCAATTCTTAAAAACAGAAATTTTTAGCAGAGATTTTCTCTACAGTTTGTTTTATGGAAACTCTTTGTTACATAATCGGCTTATGTAGTTCTATTCACTCTGTCACCTTTCAGGCATAGTCGTAATGCAGAGTGTTTGATAATTAGTATGCATTGTCCTGCAAGTCCAAATATATGCAGAGACGTTTCTGGAACTTTCTAAGATTTACATAAGTATAAAAACTTGTAGGTTTAGCTCGGCATTTCATTCATTATTAGTGTGTGTGTTCAAGCAATAAAACTTTTNCGTGTCATCTTTAAGGCATAGTCGTAATGCAGAGTGTTTGATAATTAGTATGCATTGTCCCGCAAGCCCAAATATATGCAGAGACGCTTCTAGAACTTTCTAAGATTTACATAAGTATAAAAACTTGTAGGTTTAGCTCGGCATTTCATTCATTATTAGTGTGTGTGTTCAAGGAATAAAACTTTTGCCATCCGGAGTAGTTAACAGCTATAACAAGAGGAAACCTACCAAGCTCAGCTCTACATGCTTCATTGGATACCTTATTGCTTTCTTCTAAGTAACGAATTCTTCTAAGTACAGAATTGGAGATGGGTTTTTTCGATCTGGGAACTGTCCTAAGACTTGAGATCAGATTTTATATATACACCCCAGACTTCACTGTTATATGTGAAAAAATAGGAGAGAAAATTGCATCGAAATTTTTTTCCCTAAGAGTGGGGGTAATTTGCTGAGATTTGTGTCTTTTCTAAGACTGAAAAGGGCGTAGAGGACCTTTTCTTTCAACCTGCTCGTTTTCTTTGTCCAAGTCATTCGGTTTGGAGAAATGCTTGTTGGTGAATTTATTAAAGGTTTAATATTGTTTCGAGTAAATCATAAGTATGTTAAGGAATATCAAAATAACGCAATACGAGCATAACGTAAGCCACTTTTATTTAAATTATCTTCTACACGCGTAGCATTTACAGCAATTTTCGAAGCATTTTTCATTACATTTTAAATCGTAAAGCAATCGCCAACAGCATAATGTTGCGTTGTTGCTCTAGTTTAAAAAAATTATGTCCACGGGGTCAGAGCCACCTTATTGAGACATTAAATAATTTTCTGTTATTCGCTACTGTCCGAGGAATCTCGTGGAAGGCGCAGTTTTTAGCAGCAGGTTTCATAACTGCAATTCTTAACTAAGTACGAAATATCAGTGACGCAGTAGTGTGATTTGCCGATGAAAACGAACAGTAAAACAATCAAACTCAATGAAACAATGCAACGAGCTGCAACGTTTCTCGTCGGTCCTCTGATGTTNTTAAGTAATCTTAACAGTCTTGAGGTCTTCCCGCGACAAAACAAAATATGATGATAAACGAGTAAACAATCCGAGTTTCAGTAACACAATTTTCTTTTGATTTTTTTTTTTTTTTTTTTTAATTTAATAAATTTAAATACGTGAGGTCGGCTATTTTGCTAAATGAAACAATTATTTACCTCAGTACGGGTGATAACTGCTGGACATTTAAATAATTGTTAATTACAGGCAAATCTGCTACTAAAATATGACGTAAAACTCTCATTGTTGCACGGGTCCTCAACAGCTTATTAACGGTCTTCACTCCTATACAAGAAGGTCGTCAACATTTGAGTACAAACTGGTATCGTATTCTTTCATGTTGACATACGTGTGCTGAAAAAGACCAGTGAAAATTAACTCAATCAGTATTTGTGAATAAAAACTCCTGCACATTTTTTCCAAATCAGTTATGCTCTGAACGTTAAGCTAAAAGGAAAGATTATAGGAAATAAGAAATGAAACATACATTATTATTTTGCGTCATTTTAGTGGTGGTGTCTTTAAGCGAGGAGAATGTCGGTCGGTCGTCTGGATTCTCTTGCCAACACTGCAGCATAATCTGGTAACTAAACAGAAATGGCCAACATCAACAGCATTATGTTTCGGAATTATTTCACCATATGAAGTCAGGAGTCCGTTACAGGTAATGGACCCTGATGGCATAAATATAACTTGGATAACTTTTTGTGGATGAAGTCGTTCTCAAAGCATCTTCGGGAATAGAGTTGAGGATTATCGTAAAGGACAGGAAAGAATCAAGATAAGTTGCTAAAAATCCTTGAACATTTAATATCTCGACTCTGTGTCTGGAATAGAAGTTAGGTTAAAATTGCGCTGACGAACCAAAAATATTGAGTCTGTGGCACAAAAGGTGTTGGCACCAGAACTGAAACTAGTAAAATCCGATAACGCTAATTTGTCAACTGATACGATTGAAATTGCCATAAGCATGCGACCGGTTGTGGATGATTGTTTCAGAAATATGAAAAAAGGAAAGTTTGACGTGCAAGGTAGATACCAGCAACAACACTCACAGCTGATGATCAACGTGTTGAGGTTTTGGCATCCGGTATCCCTGCTGAAGCTTGTTTGCAATTTCCCGACCGTTAATCCCCGGATACGGAGAGCCACCTATAAACAACGTAAATAAACAAGAAATTGCTCTTGACTATGTAGATAAGGGGCCTAATTGATAAAAGTATTCTATTTTAATGGCAGAAAAATCATACCCACGGTAAATATTTCGTACAGAACTACACCGAAACTCCACCTGAAAATTAACAGAAACGATCAATGAATTGTTCACAGCGTTCGAATTAGGTTAAAATAAAAGTAGTTTAATGGCAAAAACCTTTGTAGTCTTACAAATGCTGCGGTTGCCTTAATGAACAAATTCGTTCATAAAAATAAAAAAAACAACCTGATCGCTAAGAGGTGGTTGGGTTTCTGTGACATTCATGCGCTTTCACTTATATAATAGCCAACGCCTAGAAGCACGCTATACTCGCATTGCTGGCAAATCCTGGCTCATGGGAAGGAAGGGAGCGTGGAGGCTTACAAACAGTCAAACGCATGGAATCTTTCCACATGCGTAGCTAACAATGCCGCTGGCCGCTGTGTCGTAAACTCCATTAAATTGCACTTAAATACATTATATCTTATGCTGTAATTAACACGAAAGCTTCTTAAAAGCTACTTTTACTAAGATGATGCAGATTAAATCTGTATGGTTACGTGAAGAGTTTGTAGCATGGTTGATACTGCAGAATAAAAGTAACTTACACGTCACTTTGTGTGGTGTATGTCCCGTAAAGTAAACCTTCATAAGCAGTCCACTTCACTGGCAGACGACCCTGTTTTACACAGACATACGAGTTACTAATTAAGCTGGTGTGCAGAAAACTTTGTTCAGCCTGAAATAGCTGTGATAATGTCTGATGATATAGAAGAACATAATTTCTAGTCATTAACCTTTTCGCTGTCTTCGTTAATTTTTTGTGGCAAGAAAATGGGACAAGTGTCACAATTGAAAATCATGTTGTCATAAAAGTTAGGACGGAACGAAACTCGAGAAAGAACTACCCAACTCCTGATTTTGTGTAGGGAGTACGTCCCAGGGCAAACTTTTGGTNCTGCAGAATAAAGTAACTTACATGTCACTTTGAGTGGTGTATGTCCCGTAAAGTAAACCTTCATAAGCAGTCCACTTCACTGGCAGACGACCCTGTCTTACACAGACATACGAGTTACTAATTAAGCTAGTGTGCAGAAAACTTTGTTCAGCCTGAAATATCTGTGATAATGTCTGATGATATAGAGGAACATAATTTCTAGTCATTAACCTTTTCGCTGTCTTTGTTAGTTTTTTGTGGCAAGAAAATGGGACAAATGTCACAATTGAAAATCACGTTGTCATAAAAGTTAGGACGGAACGAAACTCGAGAAAGAACTACCCAAACTCCTGATTTTGTGTCTTTTAGGCTTCACAAAACGAGATAAGCAACTCACACGGGAGAAACTGAAATATGAAGAAAAAGAAATTATAACGGAGCTCCTGCACACAGAGGGTGCGCGAGCGGAGTTCCATACCTTAGAAAATTTGTTAACTCATCGATCTATAGCTAAAACAACTTTTGGTCGTCCGTCCGTGCGTCCGCACGCCAAGCCACACCGTGAAAAATAAGAGACTAGCACCATTACCATAGATACATCTTTGATATTGGACATCCATGTAATAGGTGATTGACAGCAGTCAAAAAAGGTATCAGCTGACCAGTATTTCGTGACCATATCTCATGCTCAAATTTAGAACTCGTGTGTTTTTTTGAAGTTGACCGCTGTCCAGCTACTGGTCACATCAGGTTACTGCCCCAGGCGAGAAGTAGGGAGTACGTCCCAGGGCAAACTTTTGGTCCGAACTAACCCCTGGCGCGTTGTTTACTTTTCTCGCGACATATTCCTTGCACAATCGTCTCTTGGAAATTCCCTGATATATTGAGGACGTAATTTCTNATGAGTTGAGTCTTTTAGGTAGAGTTGTGTCAACTAGAAAAGCATTTTCTGTATGTTGAACTTTTGGTACTGATGCTGGAAAGCCCTTTTTAGGGATGCTCCACAAAGTAAACGCAGGTATTGTATGGTGCAAGATAATTTTTCCTTTATTGCTTCAAGAACAAAAGAAACCATTACAATGCCCTGATTAGAAGCCAGTGAAGTGCTTATGCTACCAACCTTGCATCCTACTACAGTGTACAATTATTTTTAACTCTGAGAAGTAAGCTTAAATATAAGCTTATGTACCTACCTATCTCGGCGAAATATGTTTGCTGCAAACTATTCGCTCCTCTGTGTCTGCTTGAATTAACTTAAGCTTAAGTGTTTGTTGCAAATGTTCGGGCTTAAAAAACGCTAAATCGCTGTTGTCAAGATCTGTCAAGGCTCTCGAACACTGTAATGAGACGTTAGGGGTACTCTAGTCAGCCTCCCTGAACAGGTATCACTAGCGGAACTTTGCGGAAGGGAACAAGTTGTCCCGTTTAATACTTTTCCGTGAATTTTCATTTGGCCGAAAGTACAGAAAAATATCCTCCCCTAATTCATTTCATTAACAGCGATCTGATCGAATAATCTTTTTCTTTACCGCTTCGAAGGGCCCGTTGTCCTTTGGCGCATATCATTGATTACCACAAAAAGTAAAACAAGATGTAAAAGAAATCCATTGTTTTTTTTTTCTTTTCTTTTAAGTTAGGTAAGTTAAATGGCAGGAAATATTCGAGAGCTCACGGTGGCGCTGAGAAGAAAGACTACAACTTCATCTTGATATTCTAAACAAATCCTGTTTTATTTCACATGAACAAAGAGAGGCGTGCAATTTAACAAACTGACGTCAGTTTTTTTTATGCGTGTGTCCTCTTATTGATGATAAGTTGCGGCATAACATTGTCAAAGTGGCTGTGGAACCACGAGCCGCAGGCGAGTGGTTCCGCAGTAAACTTTGACAATGTTATGACGAAATTTATCATCAATAAGAGGACAGACGCATAAAAAACTGATGAAGGCGTAATTCAGCCGATTGTCAAAATTTGAACAAATGTACGAGCAGCCTAGTGAGAGGCTCAACTACGTGGCAAAATCTTATTTGTCGTCCGCCATTTTGAAACATTTGAAGGCGACTTTGAAGGCGGGAAATGAGTGCACATGCTCAGCGGTTTTTGAGACCTGTTGGCATCACCATTTCTCGTGGCTCGTTTGTGTTCAGTAAGTCTCGTTACTGAACACGATAATAACAATAATGATAATGATAATGGTAACGGTAACGGTAACGGTAACGGTAACGGTAATGGTAATGATAATAATAATAGCGGAGCCCCATACCCCAGAAAATTTGGTAACCCCATCGATCTCAAAAATTTTGGTTGTCACGTGATTGTCCTACGTCCGTCCGTACGCCCGTACCTTGAAACAATGCTTTGAAACTAAGAGAGTAGCACCATTACCATAGCTACATCTTTGATTTTGGGCATCCACGTTATGGTTAATTGACAGCTGTCACAACAAACTATCCGCTGACCAGTATCAAGTGACCATATTGCGAGCTCAAGCTTAGAGCTCATCGAGGCTGGGTGTTTTTTAAGTTGACCGCTGACCAGTTTTTGGTTTTCCGATTGGATAGCGGGCTCAAGTCAGGTTATGTCTCTGGAGGAGAAGGAGGGAGTACGCGCAAAGGTAAAATGTCGGCGGAAATTAACCTCTGGCGCGTTGACGTTTCTTCTAACAAATTTGTTGCACAATCGTCTCTTGGAAAGTCCATGATATATTGAGTACGTAATTTCCACAATTTTGGTTATGCTTATTGGGTACAGTTTGTTAAAATTTAATAGCAAAACCACACGCTGAACAATTACATGCTCACAGTTGATCATTGTTTTAGTTTCTAATCTAAGAAAAAATAATTTTCTTTTTCCTTTATGGTCAGTTATTGCAATCAGGAGCTGCGCTTGTAGGCTTGGCTAAATCTATATATTAATTTTTATTCCAGAAAGCTCTCTCACCTACCGGTGATCTACAGAGAGGTCCTGTTCTAAATATATCAATGATAATAATGCAGAAAGAAAAAGAAATTACATAACTGAGAATGATTCCAAAAATTTACATTTAAAATCGGATATGGTACGCGAGTTTCTTAAATCTCTATCTAAATTATTTCAATCTTTGAAGGCATGGTAACAAGTTCGTTGCTTTCCTCAATTTCTTTTTACAGATAGGCTAAGAAGTCTAAGATCATCTTTGTTGCGTGTACTGTAACCATGTACACTACTGATTCTTAACTGGTTCTATACTGTGGGAAGTTATTCCATTAACGCATTTATAAACAAAGAGGCAACGATGAAAGAGCCTCCGTTGTGCTAAACTTAACCAGCCGAGTTGACGAAGTGCCTCCGTTGCGCAAGAATACAAAGGTCTATCTAAAATAAGTTTAGCAGCCTTATTTTGCAGCAACCGTAGGTTGTTCATAAGAGCAGCATTATTCTTGTCGCCCCATACCATGTCAGTGTAGTCTAAGATGGGAAGGACGAGGCTTTTTTAGTAAAAAAGACGTGCACTTAACGGTAGTAAGTGCTTAATTCTGCGCAGCAGACCTAATCTTTGGTTCACCTTAGATATTACATGTTCAACATGTTCAGACCATGTAAAATTAGAGGCCCGGGGCCTACTCCCAGAAAAATTTGATGGGGGTGTGCGCCCCGCTTCCCAAAACCCTTACCCTAGTTATGACCAAAACCTGCGATTTTCCCTACCCTATTTATGACCAGACCAAAAATTCAATACCCTATATTATGATCGTTGCGGCTGACACAGTTGCATAAACATAAGTTTTGAAGGGCTTTTGTTGATGGTCTTGTTGATAATGATGAAAATGTAGCTTTTTCTGAAACATATCCAATTCAAGACTTTAGTACAAAAACTTTACCTTACCTTTCTGACCAAAAACCTTACCTTACCTTTCTGACCAAAACGGCTGAAAAACCATACCCTTTGGGGCCGCACATACCTATATAGCCAATATTAGGGAGTACCCTCCCCCCCGGATTAGAGGAAAGTACAACCCCTAGATATTTAAAACTCTCCACACCCTCAACTTCAGTGCCACAAATAGGCACCGATATACTATTGCCTTTACGTAGCCTAAAATCACTATCAATAAGCAAGGATTTGGTCTTCCCGACGTTAAGAGTAAGAATAACAATAAAGTACCGCATCATCAGCATACAGGGCTACTCTAGAGTGCTTGATGACGGTGGGCAAATCGTTTATATAAATAAGGAACAAAAGGGGGGGAGAAAATGCTGCCCTGGGCCACACCGTTTGTAACGGGCAACATATCAGATAATTCGGGGCCACAGGATGTATACTGCAAACGGCCACTGAGATACGATTCAAACCATTCAGCTGCATCAGAAGTTAGCCCTAAAGACGACATCTTGCGTAGCAAAATTGTGTGCTCGACCGTATCAAAGGCCTTACATAGGTCCGAGAATACAGCACCCCACAACTAGAGACTAGAAATAGCAGTAATTGTCGAATGTTTAGGACGAAACCCGAACTGCTCATCACTAAGTAAATTATGTCGATTAAGGTGCTCACACAATTGATGATGCACCGCCCTTTCTAAGATTTTGCTAAGAGTTGTTAAAATAGAAATAGGGCGATAATTAAGGTGAAATATGGCGATAATTAGGGCGCTAATTAGGGCGAGAATTAATGTTAAGGTCTCTGCCAGTCTTACCAATGTAGGAAGCCTGGCAGTCGGAGCATTCGATCTTTTAAACTGCTCATTGGTCAGCATGTGGTAACGTAATTTTAGGTTTGTGGGCTACACGGATGTTGTAGGGCTGTAGGATCTGTGAGATGGTTTCAGAAGTGCCCTTAACGAAGGTATAGTCACTGTAGTAACAGGTGTCGGGTTCCTGTTCGCTGCGTCAGCTTCAGTAGGTCTGTAAATGTTTCGTCTAATAAAGTCAGTTTGTTCTTGTGAAAAACACGTTCAAGATATCTGTTTTCGTCACATAAGCGGTCTGGTGTGTCGCAAACTAGTTCCGCTCGTCTCGTCAAAGTCTTTATAGTCATGGCTTTGTGTGAAGTCGGGTTGTAGGATGATTCGTCAAGTAATCTGTCGGTATGCGTCGGTTTTCTGTACACTGTCGTTCGCAGTTCGTTGTTGTCGCGGATTACCAAACAGTCTAGGAAAGGAAGCTTTCCATTTTCTTCGATTTCTTTGGTAAACTGGATGTCAGCGTCCTGTTCGTTAAGGTGGTCGTGAAAGCGTCAATCCACCGTAGGAAAAACGACGGCGGCTGTACATTTTACCACAATACCTTGCGAACCTAACACAGCCTACAAGGCACAAAGAAAGTGAATTTTTACAATATTTTCCCCTGTACTAAGGACATTGAGTAGCCTAAGTTTGAAGATTTTGTAACGTTTCTGTACGTTTTTATGAACGTTGTTAAGGTTTTCGTGCGCTAAGAACTATGGGTAAATGTACCAGTCGCCATCTTTTCTCCTACGGAGGATTTCGTCTTTGTGAACGGCGGTCGTCAGCGTAGCGTAACCAAAGCGGTATCGTTTGTCGGCAGTTGCAAGGGCGCGTTCCTCCACGTGTTTCATCAAAATTTCTGCGACAAAAACAGAAACAGTCGAAACAGGCGACCCCATGGCTGTTCCATACAACTGTTTGTAGTGTTTACCGTTGTACTGAAAGTAAGTCGATGTAAGGCAAAGGTTCAGTAAGTCCATGATGTCTTCTGTCGGTAACGGTAGTTTAACTGTAGATTGTTGTATAGCGGTCTCGGTACACTGTAAAGCCAATTGAAGTGGAATACTGGTGAACAGTGATTTGACGTCAAGGGACACAAGTAGTAGTCTTGATCCTGTAGTCAGGAATCAGTACTGTCTTAATAGCGCCAATAAAATTCTCCGTAGATTGTAGTTTGCGTCTTGATTTGTCAGTGAGGAGTTGCAGTATGGCAGTAAATTACTTTGACAGTAGGGGACCCACAGAATGACACTATAGGTTGCATCGGTGTACCAGGTTTGTGCAGTTTCGGTAGTCCGTAAAGTTTCGGTGGTTGTCGCACTGAGCACCTCAGTCGATAATTGTGTCAATAGCGTCAGTCTTTTTAAGCGTAAGTATTTTTTTTGTTAAGTTTATGTTAAAGTGCTGTCGTCGGGTCGCGTTTAAGTTCTTCGTAAGTTTGTCTGTCGTTAGCAAGTGTGCCCATTTTGTACCGTGGAAGCAATTCTGCTTCTGATGTTATCCTTGGCAGATTCTGGTAAGTCTCGTTGACGAGGCAGAACCGCCTGAACACTAGATACAATAGAGTCGGTCGGTATCCGTTTAGGCGTCACTGAGTGTTTTAGTCCATAGGACAGTACGTGAGTCTCAGGTTTGTCTAAGGGACAGGAAGAAATATTCCTGACCCAGTTTATCGTCAGTTTTCGCTCGTTTTTCTGTCTAAATCAGCCGCTATACCTGACTAGGAGCACAATGTAAAAGACAGATTAAAAAAATTGTTACCAAGTGTTCGCGAACCAGCTATAGCGATTGTACTTGGATTTCCACACACATAGTCCACTGCCATAAGTGTTCGTCGCCATGTATCTTCCCCCTCGTCTCAAGATTAAAGCCGTTTAATTTGCTGTGCGTTGAAAAGATATACTAGAAACCGACTTTGAGTCTCATAACTCTTATAACCCGTTTCTTTATTATGTTTCCGTTATTGATAGCTGCAGCATGGCTGTCAGGTCGGTTCAACCATCGTTTTCAAATCTTCCCTGATGCATCCTCGGGCCCGAGAGGTGTGGAGGATACGACTCTGAAGAGATGTATTGGCCTAAATCAGCCTCGACAGTGGAATTATCCCAATGCTCCATCAAACAGGGTGAGACTTTCTTCACATAGCTAACATTCATTGACCAGGTGATTTGGTGGGGGGAGGGGGAACAAAATAGAGATAGTAACAAAGTCTAACAACAAGGATATAAAATAGATAGGAAAAGCAAAGGAAAAGGACAGAAAACGCTACTTTTAACTCAAATTGGTGTGAAAATGTTATTATTTCACTAATAACATTTATGTAAGCCTGATGGACGTGCAGAATATATCTAAAATCTTTTCTCTTGTCAAAACACATTGCTAGATAGAGATCTTTGTCAGAATTTATGTGGCACCATCTCGGCGGCCTAAGAGGTAAACATCAAATAGTCATTTTTCAACAGTGTTAGTGCTGGGAAAACTCTAGCTGTTACTCTTTTCCACTAGAAATTTCTGGACCTCCTCCTTTACCAGCAAATTTTGTTGTCACAATTTCCCGCCAGCATAAACTTTAGCCGAGTTTACACCCACTGAGAACATGTGGTGGTGTATAGCATATATGCAGCTTCAGTGAGAACGGGGAAGAAGGAATTTGGCAGATGAGTATGCTTCCAGACGCCATACGTACAATAACTTTATTACTTTTGTTTCGACACTTCAATTCAGTGGTGGGGGCCGGGGGAGGGGAAATGATCGGTGGGCTTCCAGGACCATATCTACACCGTAAATTGTAAGGGCAGGGAGTTCTCGAGGGATTTACAAATAGAAACAAGTTTCAGCCAGATAACAAGCACAGCCCACGGGAAATAGTCAGCTCACAGCTCAGGATAAGGGCTATGAGTGGAAAGCATTGCCCAAGAATTAGCAAGAACTCACCCAGGAACAGACATCTGAAGAAACAGATCCATTGCATGTGATCAGATTTAGACTCCAGGCCACCAGTCAACGTTCCTTTACTAGTTTCCACCAATTAATTAATTGATGTTTCTTGCATTAATGAGCAGCATTATTATTCACTGAATTAATTTTCACAGAGGGTATGTACATTGCTTATTGATTAACAGACTCGAGAATTTACTGAAAACGTTTGACAAACCGTCAGTGCATGAATTCTTATTTAATGAAGATATGTAAGGCGAGGTTTCATTCCTTTTGTCGCAGCGGTTTGAAAATCAACAATTTGATCAAGACAACAAACGAAACAGTGCTGACTTTTCTGAACCACCTCGTGCTTTCAACTGGACAGCCCCTGGGACGGTTCCATGTGCATCTTCACGCCCCGAGCAATGCACTGTGGAAGTTTTTGGACTCCCACCGGACGCATCGGAGGAACTAGTAATTAATTATTTCGAGAATGCCAAGCGATCAAAGGGAGGCCCTGTGTCTACTGTAGTCATTAATCCCGTATGTCAGAAGTGCCTGGTGACTTTCGAATCCGCTGAGGGTAAGTCAGGAGACTTAACACGCTTTCAGCAGTTGCGCTTATCGTGCTATCGAAACGGCCAACATGATCATTTTTGACCAACTAATTAAATTATGAAATTGATAGGATCCTCGGGCCGTTTTAATCGAATGAGTAAAATAATTAAAGATATCAAATAAACGGAAAAGTGGCCAGGGTGTAAGTGGTCGCGGTGAAACAGTGAGTCCTTTTGTCTCCTAGGGTCGGAACGGCGCCCTAAACACCTAAAAAGACGTACCTTGTCTATCCTCATCAATTTCAATCAAAAACAGAGTTTGTTCCATTTTTGTATAATTTTTTTTACCTCGATGTTCGTATGTTTGTTTGTTTGTTTGTTTCTGTTTATTAAAGGGGACGAGGGATGAGAGTCTTCTGTGATAAAATTCCTTATTACGCCATTTCAAAACGTGCATCTTACTTCTGTACTTCCATCTTCCTAAGTACAGGTCTCGGTGTTTGGGCAATTTGGAGATGTTAGAATAAATATATATCGCTACGATAGCACGATATATTTAAACTTTAAACCTAGACTTTAGAAAGGATTCACTGGGCCATGGCAGATTTAAATTGGTCAATTTCAGACGCCATCAGAACGGTGGAACACTCCCCTCACACTTTAAGTGGTGCAAGTCTCCAAGTCTCGCTGTATAAAGAATTCGAAGACGAAAATCATGATGACTTCGACGAAAACAGAGCAGAGGAAGACGGCTGTACTGATGAAAGTGATATCATCGTAATTGTCAGTGGCATCTTACCGTCTACTAGCGAAGACGCCCTGTTAAATTACTTTGAGAATCGAAGAAGATCTGGTGGAGGTGAAGTTTCCAACGTCCATTTTACTGACGACGGGAAAGTTATAATAACTTTTCTTGAGGTGAACGGTATGTGTGATAGCGCTTCCTAGCTTTCCGTGTACGTATGAAGTGTATGTTATGCGTTGCCAAAAGGAATTAAAAAAACAACAACAACAACAATTTATTGGTATTCCCATATAGATGGTGTTACCTAAATACAGAATCGCTAAATAAAAATTCAAAAACAAAGCAAATTACAACAGCAACAAGAAAGAAAAATAAACATAGTTAGTCACAAGATTCTCGGCTTCATTTTAAGTTCTAGGGTTACAAAGTTCTCTTATTTGTAGTGCTTCATTTGTAAAGTAACCTAGTTTTTTACTACTGTTTTCACTACTAAGCGACTTTCGAAATCAAAACACTCTTTGCAATAGACTTTCGTCATTCAAACAGCGGTATCTTTCATGTCTAGGAAGCGGAGCGGCTTCACATTCACGGCGAAAATGTTGGCGATCCCTAAAGGGATTGCAAATTTGAGGGATGTACTGTAGCTGTGTAGGCGACTCCGCGGTGGACGCTTTCTAGCTCAGGTACATCCCTGAAATTTGGTCAATGCAATCCTCTGTCTGGTATCTTAACTTTGCCATTCATAAATTGTTCAGAATTCGACTTTTAAGAAAATTATTTGCCATTATTGGATTCCCATGCAAACACCGTAATTTCTGACGCGTGTTGCCTGCCCATCAAGATGGCTTCCAAAACCATGATAAGGGTTGTTGATTGATCGGTTGATCGATTGAACGATTGAGCGATCACTGGCTGTTTTCGCGCGGTAGCTGTGTACTTTATGTTTTGTTCCAAGCAAATTGTGAGACATTAAAGGCAGCAATTGGATCTAAGATACCTAATTTAGCCAATAAGGGAGCAGAACCTGCTCGTTGGTCTGCGTTGGTAATAAGTCGAACAACACACTTTTGTAAATAAAAAGGTTTATCTAAAGTGACGTGTTAATTGAAAACCCGGCAGAGTTACAATAAGTGATATTATATTCTAACCACCCTGAAACGATTATAAAATATTTTGTAGCTAATCTTAATATGGAAAAATTACGCAATTCTAAATGACACTGACTCAAAAAGTTCTTCCAATCGTTGTTTTCGAGGTCATAATTTGCATCCTTAAGTAACGGTTTTGAGCACTCTTTTAGCTATATCTGTTTTACGTTCCGAACAATTTTGTTCTTAAGTTTTTGACTTTAAGAGTGTAATTTTTACACCAGATTTATGTAATAAAAAATATAGGTTAACATTCTTGTTTGAGAGAAAACGAGCATCTATTTCGCTATCGAGCTTAGCTTGAGGAGAAACTGTTACGTTGTGTACGTGCACGCGCTCATTTGCGCGTGCTAATGACGCGAAAATCGTGCGCAGCAGGGATGCGCAATGCAATACTGAGGAAATACCTTAAGTTAAAATATTTTAAAAAATTGTTCGGAAGGAAAAAAAGATATAGCTAAAAGTGTGCCTAAAACCGTTAGTAAAAACAACGACTCGAGGAATGTTTTGAATCTTTGTCGTTGAAAATTGTGTGATTGTCCTAGAAACCAAATATTCCATTGTTCTATTCTCGAGACTTTCTACGTAACAAGTTTTTTTTTTCTTTCATGTATTTTAGAAAACTTTGCTTCCAGCTACCGCAAAATGTAACATGAATTATTCCCCCAAGCTTCAGAGCCATTAAGAATTTTACTATATCATCGAAATTTGCCGCCTATTCTTGCAAAAGCTACCAAGCTGCTCGCTTGGCCGCCCAGTTAAAAATACAATGTATACGTTTGTCATCTGTATAAGTAGTCCAGTCCCTAAATCCTCCCTTACCCGTGGGCTATATAGGGGTTGGACCCAGGCGCGAGAAGAGAGAGTCTCTTTCTTCTTCTGCCTGGGTTTAACTTTCATATAGCGCACGGGGAAGGGAGAGTTCAGGGAATGGCATGGACTACTGTATGCAGTCATAACTCCGGTTGCGACCACCTCTCCTCAGCGACCAGTTTTCTAAAATACCAAACGTTTTCCAGTCAAATCTCTATATTTAGAACCTGTTGTAAGCGGCCACCTCTCGTAAGCGACCGCGACCACTTCTCGAGCTAAAATTTTGAGATTTTCCTTTGTTTTTAACCTCCCGAAAGCGACCACTTGACGGATAATAGAGAGGTAATTGGATAATAAGGAGTTGTAATATAATACTAGGGTATCTAAAAGACAGTAATGCTACGGCACATTTTGTTGACAGTGACATATTTTACGCAGACTCATCTATCTGCGCATTCAAAAACTCACATCAACCTTTATTTCTTAAAGTAGTGTCAATTCGTGGTGGGTAACTATCCTTGTATGCATCAAATTCATGCATGATTACGCATCGATGGCGAGGTCTGACCAGGGATCAAGACAAAAAATTGTAGGAGCAGAAATCTGACTTATAAATTCTGTACTGGTACGCATTAAATGTCTCTGGAATTCATGTTTGGATGAAAAGAAATATATCACAGCAAATATGAAATTAGCGTGTTCGACGGTTTTCGTTTGTTTTAATTATTCTACAAGCTTTAGTAACGACGATTTCACTTCATTTACGAATTCGACCAAGTTTAAAATTAAGATGTCACAATTAATCGTCCAGATTTACAAACTTTTACCTATTGCATTAAGAACAAAAGCAAGAGTTGTGAAAGTAATACACAATTTCCTTCATATCGTTTTTCTGGTAAATCAGAGCAAAACATAAACACTATTCTTTCTCATTGCAATTCACGCGAAAAAGGACGGCGGGTCGACGGTGTGCCATCGTGTTGCTCGTGACGCAATGCACTCTGGTAAAAAGTGGCGCACTGCACTCTGGTTTAATGCGATGCATTCTGGTAAAAAGTGATGCATTCGAGAATTCGTACCCCCTTCTATATATTCTTCTTAAATCCTGATTATGTTGCTGCTCGCTCGCTATACTCGCTCCGCAGCAATTATCGCATTCCTGGGTAATACAAGAGACAGAAATTTCTCAATGGGAAGAATCGGACTCTTTTCTCGAAATTGACTTTTCACGTGAGTAAAACATTGCATTGGCATTGGCGCATGGAGCAAGTCCCTGTAGTTACCATATTCTAATGAGGCCAAATTTTAACCCAACATGGTCTAAGCTCTCTTAAGCGACCATCTCCTGTAAGCGACCACCTGGGCTTGACGTTCTGGGTGGTCGCTTACGGGAGGTTCGACTGTAAAGGTTATTTAACTAGCCTTTGTAAAGATTTAAATGAAATTGTCTTCCAAACATGGAGTTAAAAAGATTCCTACTTAACAAAACACTGTTTATATCGTGCAATGAAATTGAATTGAAAGCGGCAATTGCCGAAATTAATTCGTGAGCAGACAATGTTAATGGCTCGTATTGCAAAATTCGGACTGCTAAGGGCTAATCAGACCGTTAACAGCTGATCAGAATTCTCCTTGTCATCGCGGATCAGCTCAGCCATATAATAACAGTAGTCTTAACTCTAGCGCGCGCGTTGGCCAAAGGAAAAAAGGCCAAATGTTGGCAAACATCCGAAAATAGTGAGCAAGCGAGCAACTGGATTTATAAGCCTGATGCTGTTTTAATTTGTTTTTTATTATTATAATCTTGATTTGCCTAAACAGATTTAGAACGACTGCTTAAGAAGCCACATGCAATTCACGGAAAATCTATAACAGTTGTGCGACAGCTTCCTAAGAAGAAGTTACCACTTGACCCAGTAAAAGTTCACGTACAAGGAATCAGCGAAACGACCACCGCAGACATATTACGTTTCTACTTGGAGAAGTTCAGTGACGTTGAAGTCGTGGAAGTGTATCTTGGTTGCAACAATGACGCCCTTGCAACTTTTGAATCTGAACCAGGTGATTTTAAATCATTGAGCTATATTCATTCTTAGGATAACCGAGAGGATTCTCGCCCGCTCATTGGTTGAGAACTATGATTGATGAGCGTATAACCACAAATGACGTAATACAAGGCAATGTCAATTCAGATAAA